TCGCAGGCGCGTGGCGAGACCGAGGAGAGCGGCCGCGGCTCTTTATAAAACCTGTCTCCGGCTGGGGAGGAGGCGCGCGAGGGCTTGGCCCAGGTGCGCCCTCGGAAGCACCTCGTTAAAGTTCGTGTGGGCCGTCCATGTTGATAACGACTGCAAAAGCGTTGTTGTTCCTGGTTTGCCAGCCTCTCCCAGGCAGACCCCACCAGCCCCTATGAGTCTTCTGTAAGAGGATGATCAGAACCCTGTTCATCTTTGATGTAATCTTGATGTTTAGGAAGAGGATAATAAATCTAACATTTGTGAAGTATTAATCTCAGAAATAACCACTTGACAGCTTATCTTGCAGCAGCATGCATAAATTTTTCTAGTGTACTATTTCAGACAAGTTCTATATTCTACTTATGCTAAATCAAGCTTTTTTATTATTCTGTTTTCTCTTAAGTTCTTCAGAATTTCTACAAGCAATCTGAAGGAGGAATAGATTCATGAAGTATTTATTCATGTGACTATGTTGAAAAATTATTGGCAGTAAAACCAGTAATACTGAATGGACTTCTGTAATGGTTAAACAGTTAATGGTAAATGGTTTTAAAAAATGGTTAACATGGTTTCCCTGAGCATTTTGAAGCCCACTTCTGTGAAATGCTGGATTTCAAGAAAGGTAGAAGCAGAGGGGAATCTGTTCCTCACATATCTCTGTGCTTCAGCAATCTGTCGCCTCAGGATATGATGATATGCTTGCAGTTGGCAAAAGGTTTATTCCCTTATTTCTGTTGTGAGTTACAGCGATAGAAAAGGGAAGTGGCACAGAGGAGTGTCAGTTCCTTGTTTAGAAATATATCATAATATTCCTGTTCCAAAAGGCTTTTTATGATTATTAGATAGTCCACTGCCTTCAATGACAGCTCTCACAGTAGTATCCACACTCTCTTTTAGATACTGCTTGCTGAACCTGAGGGCAGACCCAAGTGAATGCTAAGTTTTATGTGTTTTTATAACTGAAATTATTCACAAAAGAGATGTTTATCACAGCTACCTAAATAAAGTACTTGTATCTTTTGTGTATGGATGTATACCAGCTAAACCATCTATGCTAATATCATGCAAATGTGATGCATTACAATGCTTCATTGTTAATTTAGCATTTTATTGACATCCTCCTTTAATCTCTTTTCTCTAATGCAGCAAATGCTGACATTTAAAAGTTGCAGTTCCTTTTTTACTGCTGGCTTTGGTTCCTCTGGAGCAGACTGTGTACTATATTTGAACAGTCACATACCACATGCTAGGACAGGTCTTTTTTTCAACATTCCGGAAACTAATCATGCCAAAAAATATTTGCCTGGAATATTTAAAATCATAGACTGTTCTTTGTATATTATAATATTTTCTAGCACAGTTTCTGTTGTCACTGTATCTCCCCAACATAGCGAAGATACTCTGAATTTCCTCTAAAATGAGAGTGTCACTTTGCCAACTGGCATCTATGAAGGAATTTCTGGTGCCCAGTGCTGTGCTTACATGTCTCTCTCCATCCATCACTATAGCCCCACGGCTACCCTGGTAATGTGCCTTTTGCCGGCAACTCAAATGAGCATAAACTCAAAGCATTTGGAAATCCTGTTCAAGAGAAAAGAATTTAAAGAGTTAATAGTTTATAATATGAATATTTCTAAGGGGGTTTTATATTTTTTCTGCTTCTATTACAAATATCTGAAGATGCAAGAATGCATAGGCTAAAAGCTTTATTCCACTCTCCTACACTTAGTGATTCACCTGTGGTTCCTCCGTTTCTTCAGCCCGTCCCTTAATTTCAAACTAGCTTGAAACTATGGCTTTCTTTGAACTACAGTTACAGCTTTTTGCCCCAGAACAGTTTTTACACTATCAACAAAGACGGGCTCTTGCATTTGGCTTAGATACTGTGAAACGTTGTTTGCTGGAAGCAACTGAAGAGAGCTGCTGCCAGCAGGAAGTGCCAACTAAGGGGAAGAGAACAGATCTCTGAATCACGCTTAGGTGTTCTGCCTTTTTGCACTCATGTGTTTCTCCATATGTGCAATACACATACCTCTTTGGATCTCAATTTTTCAGTGATTTGTGTGGCTTTATTAATTAAAATGAAAATACACATAAGTTGTTTGGGATGAGAGATGCTATAAAAATAAAAATTATTGTCTCCGTAATGCTGATAGTCTATGTCTTGGTGACTAAAACTTTCCAGTATTGCATCAGCGTGATTATCCTGCCACTCCCCATCCTCAAAGGATCATAATCCTCCCTCGGTGCCAGCACATGCACAACGTGCACACACAGGCAGTAGCTGAAACTATATTAAATAATGTTTTCCTCTCAATGTCTATGCCAATTCAATGTCAGTTCATCCCAAAAGAATCAGAGAAGGAGAACAGAAAATAACATATATAAAAATACTTGTTTGTCTCATGACAGGATCGCAAGAACAATTTGTGCCAGCACTATTTTTTTTCCTCTGTTACTGCTTTTTTTTCTATTACAGTATTTTTATGCTACTGAAGTCATTTTGTATTAAGAAATGACAGGCCATTTCTGTAACCACAGCAAAAAAATATAATAAATTTACCTTTTAACAAAAGGCAAAAACAAAACCAAAGTTGAATGTAACAAAAATATGTTGTGGGCATTATTTTTTATGATGTATAAACCACTGAAGAATACTGCACATTTTAAGATTGTAAATTTTGTTGTGCCTCTTTTTCACGTTAAAAATAATGTATTTTTATATATATGTATTATATATATAATCCATCTGATGACATTGCATAATGTAAGAACCAGCAAAGGAGTAGGGAGCTAGTGGGAAAGCTGGAAGTAGTTTTATATGTGCCTTGACTATGTGTTGTGTGTCTCCCCGGGCCCATGACATAAATTAGACGGGCTCTGTGTCTGCTCTGCTCCTATGCGGTATCAGGAGCTCAAGTGCTTCAGCAGCCCTGAGCAGCACAAGCGCTACAAGATGCC